GTTACTTTGTCCTGTTGTTGGTAACCTAACTGGAGTGAGCAGTCATTTACTTCTCTCAGGAAAAGTTCACACATACAAAAATATTAGATACCAACCAGTATTGAAATGGGATCATGTAAATAAAAACTCCAGGACTTGCAAGGGGTGGTATCATAACCATGCTAGCTTGTTGTCCCAACACTTGGGATGCTAAAGCAAGATGATCATCAGGCTTGAGGTCAGTATTGGCTATAAAGAAAAGTTGAGGCCAGTCTGGACTACATAGTCAGACCCTATTGCCAAACCAAACTCCTAAATCCCAAGGCTGATATTACACCACATACATACTATGCAAAGCAGAGACAGAGAATGTGGCATGATGCACAGTATCCCAAATCTCTGTGTATGTATCAGAATTACTACATGGACTATGTATAAATAACAATGCCTATGGACTAGTTCTGAAGATTCTATTTTAAGAAGTGAAAAATTGGCATAATGGTTATTATTAAAAAGTGAGCTTACACATATTTCCTAAGTTGGGAAATTATATAGCCTAGGTTCATAACCACTGTTAATGTATTTACAGATACACTGTACATTTTGTAACAGACCATTCTGAGAAACAAATCATTAGTCTATTCTGCTCCTGTGCAAGCATCATAGCATACAGAATACTAAGAAACGATGACAATTACTAGAAGGCTCAGGAAACATCTTGGAATACATTAATGACTCTTTCTTTTTTTTTTTTTTGAGTCATGGTCTCAACTACTTTGTCTGGGTTAGACTTAAACTTGTGTGCTCAAATAACCCAATAGTTTCAGCTTCCCTGAATATTAGTGCTATAGGCATGTGTACCTGTCTCTGGCTGGGCTGGAGACCCGGTCCCACACATGCTAGTTAGGTGTTCTACTTGAATCCTTATCTCTTTAATAGCTTTTGTGGTTTTAGAACACTTTTAATTACCAAGGCCAGTACTTAAGCCCAGATTTTCCCATAAGAAATCCTTTGAAAATGGGAAAGGAAATCAGAGAGCACAGGAAAGACAATGTGCTGTGAAACCTGGATCCAAAAAGTAGGACAAATAGCTAGAGAAGTAAAAACTTAGAAAGATATTTAAATGTCACACTTCACTAGAGTTTAGTTCACTAAGATTTATTACAAAGTTATAAAGACACTGATTTCTAAACTTGGCCGGTGGCACACACTCATAATCCAAGAACTTCAGAAGCTGAGACAAGAAGATAATGATTTAGAAAACAGCCTAGGCTACATAGTGAGACCCTGTCTCAAAAACAAACACATCACTGTATTGGCAATTTACACTCTATCATCTTAAAGGAGAAAAGATTTATTCTACCTTCAGGGGCTATCAGTCCATCCCTGCAGGGAATGCATGATGGCTAAAGTGGGCCAATCTATATTGGGAGTAAAGATAGGCAGAGAGTGAGGCAAAAGCTCCTCAGATGTTTGGTGATTAACAAGAAGAGAGCAACCTTGGGCTAGAAGTAGGGCTGGACTATGACTGAAAGACCTATTCCCAGTGATCCACATCTGCTCCAAGGTTCCACAACCTCCTAACAACATTGCCACTAGGTGGGAACAAGGTATTGAAACACAGGAGCCTGTATGTGTGTGTGAGGGGCAGGGGACAGGGTGAGGCGATTTCAAATTCAAACCATAATGATGCCTATTTGTATATTTTCACATGCTGTGCACTCAGTATGCATTCAAGGAAAAGGAACTAAGTTAAATTTAACACATGAATGTTATCCCCTTCCATTGTAACCTTGGTTTTTGTTTGAAACATGGAGTTATGTAGCCCAGACTGGATTGCTCTTAATGCTGTTCCCTCCACATCCTATATGCTAATATTCCAGGAATGTGTTATCATGCCTAGCTTTTAAAAATAGAATCCCCCAATCCTACCCTGAGAATTGAGTCCAAGGCTTCAAATGTGACAGACAAATGCAAATGCACTACAACTAAGCTACACTCCTAGCCCATGCATTTTTTATTAACTTGGCTTCCGTGACACTACTATACACTGGGTGTGTATGTGTCTGTTTCTGTCTTTCTTTTTTGAAGATTTATTTATGTATTTTATATAATATGAGCGCTCTATATGCATGTATGCTTGCATGCCAGAAGAGGGCATCAGATCTCAATATAGATGGTTGTGAGCCACCATGTGGTTGGTGAGAATTGAACTCAGGACCTCTGAAGAACAGCCAGTGCTTTTAGACACTGAGCTCTCTCTCCAGGCCCTCTGTCTCTTAATTTACCTATTTATTCTGACATTTTTTCTAAGACAAATCACACCCACACACATTCACCCTCACTCATACCAGGCAGGCCTGGAAACAATGGCAACTTCTTTCTCAGAGTCCCAAGTGCTGGGATCATGATGTGTGACTCCTATTCTCTATGTATATTCTTTATATTTGTAATTTCATAATTCTTCCAACTGAAAATGTCTACATCCCAATGACTAAACTTTAACACCTCTTCTATTCTCTATGTATACGCTCTATATTGATAATTTCATAATTCTCCCAACTGAAAATAATGTCTACAACCCAATGACTATAAATTTGAACTCTCCAATTCACCCCGTTCTTAGAAACATAATTTTTATGTAGATGTTTACTCCAACATTTCTAACAGATATTTTAAATTAGGCATATTGAAAACGTAACTTCTGATATTCTCCCCTCACAAAATCAACTCTGGCAAATCTCTTGTATTTTTGTTTTGTGGTGCTGAGGATGAAGCCCAGGATCTCAAGACACCAGGTGTGAATTGTATCACTGCCCTGCATCCCGGGGCCATTTCTTTGACAACTATTCAACTTCTCTTTGGTAACAACTTCAACACTCCATAATTTAAACCAAAAATTCTGTAACCATGTTCAATTCTTCTTTTTCCTTCAGTCTACACCTAACATGTTATTAACAAATGCTCATGGCTAAACACCAAAAATATTTCTAGAAGTTGATGGCTATTCAGAACCTCCATGGCTGTCATTTTAGTCTGAGCTATCATCATCTCTTACCCCATTTATGCAATAGCTTCTAACTTCCTGCTCCGACCCTTGTTTCTACCTAGTCTACACTCTACACAACAGCCATAGTCTTTTTAAAAATCTAATAAGACAGTTTCACTCCTCTACTTCAAAACCTTCAGATGGTAACTTACCCATATCACTGCAGAAAAAAGTAATAGTAGTAGTAGTAGTAACAACCCTCACAGTTTACAAAGTCCTACGTGCTGCATCCTATACTGCAGCACCATCTAGGACCTCCTACCCACTCTGGCTCATTCCCCACTATTCTGGAGTTCCCTGCTTACCCTGGGATGTGTGAACAGAACACTCTCATCACAGGTCTTTGCGATGCCCATTTCCTCCATCTGCAGCTTCCCGGTAAAACTCTGCACATAATCCCGTTCGCATGCATCCACAGAATGCTCGCCAAGTCAAATCCCTGAGCCAGGTATGGTGAGGCTCACTACCATCTTTATACAAGCAAAGTGCCAACAAGTCATGGCTCCAGGTTGCTGTGAGCTACACAGGGATACCCAGTTTCATTCAACAGCAAAGTCAAGTTACCTAGGACAATAGGAACTACTTCATTTTAACTATTTTTTAGCTTATTCTCCTTTTCCCCAATTCTCCTTATCCTATTACTGGAAATAGCCACTACTAGCAAGCATATTACATATTTATCACCTACCTTCTCAATTCCTTAATCCATCAGAATGTAAGAACTATAAGGACCTTTCTATTTTGTCCACTAAAATTTTCTAATGTACCAAACAGAACCTTGAACAGGTTGGCAATGAATAATTACCAAATTAATATGTTTATAACAGACCCCTAGGAGTCCACTACGAGAATCTTCTGACAGAAGAAACGAACTTATGAGAATTTCATAGAATTCTTTGTCAAAATAAACCATCACTAGCACTCTGGATAATGATTTATTAGTAACCCAAATTCTACACTCATTCAAAAATACAGCCAATGAATCCAAGAAGTTAATATTCTCTTCAACAATGTTGCTATTCCAGTAAAACAAGATAAAAGTCCTCAACACAGCACACATGACCAAGCACAACTTCCCCAACAGTTCAGAAAACTTCTGCTCAAAAAGACTCAATTTCAAACTAAGTAATTCCGTACCTGAAGAGAAGCAGAGTTTTCCCTCATTACCTAAATAATGTTCATAAATAAAACTTAGAATGCACATTACAATGATAATTACCACCACAGAAAAGCTGATTCATGAATTATAAGTGGGAAAAGGATTATAAGTGGGGAAAAAGTAGACCCTGGAAAGGGGGAGGCAGGTGCCTTGTTCCTATGCAAAGATCAAGGTTTCAATAAACAAGCAGGACTCATTAACAGCTTCAGTAATGGCTGTTAACAATGTTGTGACCCATAGTGTTAGCCCAAAGTTTTGAGACTTTCTATGCAAAGCACTATAAATCTGAAACTCGCGTGACTAAGAATTAAAGCATTTCATTTCAATTACTGCAACTTCAAACAAAACGACTCATTCCATTTACACCGCTGTTGGGTTTTTTTCTTTTGGTATAATACACATAGCCACTAAGTAATATAGAAACGTCTTCAAACCAAGAAAACTTACCAAATAATCTTAAGCTTCCCACGGAAAGTTTGAAAAAGCACCTAGGGAACTACTCAACAAGCATCACCCGCCACGGAACTTACTGTCTGGCTGACGCAGAGTCTGATACGGACATTGGAAACCTGACTTTTGGGGGCAATTGTGCTCTGGCCATAGTATGAACTGTCTGTTATCCATTACAATTCCTAGCTTGTTTTTCAGCCCACCTGAGCACACACAAACTCAGAAGCCACTCAACAGTAACGGTACTTTCTTATCAGAAGTACAAGGAAGTCCCCGGCAGGAAGCGGCAGGAAAGGTACTCATCACCCCGCGCGGCTACGGCCAGGTCGGGGCCGAGTAGTGCTCGCCAGTGCCCGGCCTTACCTCAGGAGTCCGCTCCGGTGGCTTCTTCCTCAGTGCCTGCCGAGCACCGGGGTCCACGGGCGAGTTCATGTCCGCAGCCACACGCTCCTTAGCCTGCGTCTAGCTGCCCATTCTCCTGACCCGGGTATGCGCCAGCCCTACCGGGAGGGAAATGAGAACTGTCGCAGGGTCTAAACTCAAGCAAACAAGCCTTCGCAACGCCCGCCCAGGGCCTCAGCCCACGCGCGACTGGCCAGAAAGACGCCTGCGCGGGGGCGAGGGAGGGCGAGAGCGCATGCGCACAACGCGCACACTAACGCCCGCCTAGCCGTGACGTAAAGAGTTGGGCGTGGAAGGAGCGGGGACTGAGCAGTTTGGCTTTCGTCGCGAGAGTCGGTCTCAGGATTGTAGTTTCCGCATACCCAGCTTCCGGTTGAGGTTCCGGAAATGCTACGAGGGCTTCGCCAAAAATAGACTATGGGGCAGAGCTGTGGGCAAGGTGCTCTGGCTTAGCGCCCGAGTCCGGAAGCCGTGGGGCTCTTATGGCTCCGCGGAAGTCGAGGCTGCCATTCAGCAGGCTGGGAAGCCCACGCACCACCGCGCAAGCCACGGATCTACTCGCGCACTCAGCCCACTGTTTCCTTGCGGCGTACTCGGCATGACTTTGAAAAGCAAAAACAAACCACGAAATCGCTAGTGAAAGCTGCCTCCAAAAAACCAAAGTGTTTTGAAGACTAGAGATATAGTTCAAAAGGTAGCCTGCTGGCCTAGCATGCACCAGATTTTCCTGGACCTGATGATGGATGATGCCTCAGCAGCTGTGTGCAGAATTTTAGGATCTTGCTTTAAAGGGTTTATGATCTAAAAGCTTCAGGTGGACTAAGGAACTCCTGATAGGAAAGTTGTGTCAACTTTCAGTTGAAAGTCCACCTGAGGCTTTTAAGTCATAAAAGCTGTCAGAATCCTTGACGCTTCTGAGATCAACATACTAACCTCTTTTGGTATTTAGCACTTTTGAGACTGTTGGGGAACCGACCTGCAGGTGAAATTTTATAGCCTAGAAGTTCTTTTTCTGTCCTATAAAACCCACAAACTCTCTGTATCACCTGTGTAGCCTCCACTCACGTGGAGAAACTGGTGTCACATGTTCTGATTAAAGGACAAAACTTCTGTGGAGGCAGAGCTGCCCTTTTATTTCCACTTGACTCCATTAGTCCTGATCTCTAACATCCTTGACTAAAGTTCTGTGGGTAGTGAGAGTGAGTGGGTGGGGGCTGCTTTAACCTAAGCAGTGATAGAGCAAACCTCTTCACTTCTTCCTTCGGGCAGCTAGGTTTAAAGTTGCCTGGTGCCAAGGGATAAGTGTTTTTGAATTGAATTTTACATTCTAGTCTCTTTTCCTAACAAAATAAAGACAGCTTTGGTTTTTTGTTCTTTGGTGAGAAAAGCTGCAAAACCCGAGTATCAGTTAATATTCCAGGTTTATTTTGGCCCACAGATTGAGCTGGAAGTAACAGGAGGCTGTCAGTCACTGGACATGAGTGCTGGGAACTGAACTCTCCAAGTGCACCACTTGTTCTTAAACCACAGAGACATCTCTACAGCCCCCCCCCTTTTAACTTTTCTTTCGTGTGTGGCATGTGGCACTGTGCTCATGGAGATGTCTTACAGAAGAGCGTGCTTTTCTTTCTCCATCTGGGTCCTGGGAAATCAAACCCAGATTATGTTGGTAGCAAGTGCCTTTTCCTGTTATGCCATGGTAGCAGGGGTGTCAAGTGGCTGTTTATTTTTTCCACAGTCAGGTAATAGCACATTATGAATGCTCTTGCTTAGCTGGCCTTTTTACTCAGTCCAGTACTCCAGGCCCATGAGACAGAAGAATGAGTTTTTCCTAACTTCATTACTCCAATCTAGAAGCTTCCTCACAGACATGCCCAGAGATTTATCTCCTTGGGGGATTCTAGATTCTGTCAAATTGACTATCAGTGTTAACCATCGCAGGCTATTTCAACAGTAAAGGCTAACTTTCAGAATTCCAGAATCCATCATTTTGGGAAAGTTATTTTGCACTGTTCTTATCACTGGGCCCCAATAGTCACACCATTCCTTGTGAACCTCCACCTTCTGGCATTTCATTTACACAGAATTTTAAAAACTGATCTTATCTAGGTACATCATAGTATTTTCAGGAGTAAGAGCCAACTAGGGAATTTAGTGTCTTGTGATTGTACAAGTTTTCCAATAATGAGTCACAGTACCTTTCTCTGGCAAGGTAAGAATCTCTAATAAAAACAACAGGAGAGTTGAGGCTGTAATATTGCAGACTAATGACAGTGCTGTATTTTCCGTTGGACCCTGGGGCTTACCCAAACTTGAAGTTTACAACATGCTATTAGCACATCTTTTCTGAGGTTAGGGCACAAAAGCTGGTACGGTTCAGCCGCTACAGATATAAATTGTGAAAAAGATACATGGTACTTGTGCTGGTTAATTTTTCTGTCAACTGATACATGCTAAGGTCTTTTGGGAAGAGAACCTCAATTAAGAAAATGCCTCCATCAGACTGAAGTGTAAACAAGTCTGTGGGGAGCATTTCCTGATTAATTAATGATTGAGGTGGAACACTCAGCCCATTGGGGGCAGGCAAATGCTCCTGGGTCCTTTAAGCAAGCTAACATAGCAAGCCAGTCTCTGCTTCAGTTCCTGTCTCCAGCTTTCTGCCCTGTGTGAGTTCCTCCCTTGACTTTCCTGTAAAAGAAAAGCCAACCCTTTCCTCCTCAGGTTGCTTCTGCTGTGTTCCATCACAGCAATAGAAAGTTACTTAGGGGGCTGGAGAGATGGCTCAGTGGTTAAGAGCACTGACTGTACTTCCAGAGGTCCTGAGTTCAAATCCCAGCAACCACATGGTGGCTCACAACCATCTGTAATGAGATCTGATGCCCTCTTCTGGTGTGTCTGAAGACAGCTACAGTGTACTCATATATAATAAATAAATTAAAAAAAAAAAAAAGAAAGTTAACTAGGACAGTGTTGCAAATGACCTGTTTCACTTTTATATAATGTATATTTTAAAAGTTTATATATAGTCTATAAATCTTAAAGGTCACTCCCCCTAAAGATTAATGTTCAGTATCATCTTAATATATTTTTAAGATTTATTTTGTGTGCATTGATATTTTGCCTGCATGCATGTCTATTTGAGGGTACCAGATCCTCTAAAACTGGAGTAATAGACAGTTGTGAGCTGCCACGTGTGTGCTGGGAATTGAACCCGTCATCTGGAAGGGCAGCCAGATGCTGAGCCATCTCTCCAGTCCCTCACCTTAAAATTTTGAAAGGGGAGGGGGGAATAAACCTTGATTATTATAAACTTGAACTTTGCAGGCAATCAGACTGGAATTTAACTTTTAATTAGGAAAGGAAGTTGTTTCTCAGTGTTGAGGACCCAACCCCAGGCAAGCATTCTACTATTGTTATGAACTCACCCCTGACATCAGTTTGTACATCTGTATGGAAATAGTGGGCTTTCAGGGTTTTCAAGATGAGTTAAATCATGTGAATCATTTAGTATGTTGTCAACACAATCTAAACAAAAATACTTCTATTTCTCCTGGAAAATGATTTCTCTAAAACACAAGTTCATGTTTGAACAATTTGGATAATTTTACTGTAATTAAAAATTCTTAATAAGGAATATAATAAAAGTGATAGATTATTTTAAATTTATATTATTTTTCCCATTTATTTTTCTAAATTTATATTATTTATTGTATGTGTTTGAATGTTGTGCCTGTATTATGTGCACTATGTACATATCTGGTGCCTCTGGAGGCCAGAAGAAGGCATCAGATTCCTCAAAACAAGTTAAGGATGGTTGCAAACCATGTGGGTGCTGGGAATAAAACTCAAGTGCTTTTAACTGAACCATATCTCAAGCCCCTGATGGTTTATTTTGAAAAGTATCTTGAAGCTCGGCAGTGGTGGCGCACGCCTTTAATCCCAGCACTTGGGAGGCAGAGGCAGGCGGATTTCTGAGTTCGAGGCCAGCCTGGTCTACAGAGTAAGTTCCAGGACAGCCAGGGCTACACAGAGAAACCCTGTCTCGAAAACAACAACAACAACAACAACAAAAAAGTATCTTGAGTCAACTTAGGTCCAATTACAAACAAACAGAAAACAATAAACCCCTGCTGGCAGCCTGCTAAAGCTAGTTACTACTCTGCTAGTCTAGCTATCACCCCTAGAAGTTTAAAATAGAAAATTACTAACAGCCAAGCTTCCCTAATAATTTGCAGACATGACAAGTTCATGCACAGGATAAGCTGCAACTTCCCAGACCTCACTGGCCTTCAGTTCGGGCTTGGTCTCACCTTGCTACTCTAGGCCTCCTTCCACACAGAAAAGCACAGATAAGCAGTAGGGGGCGGGGTGGGAAAAAATTGGGGGTAGCCACTAGAAAGTGCCAGATGCCAGGGATACAAGAGTTCCCAGGACCCAACAGGGAGGACATTAGCCGAAATACCAACAAAGGGGAGAGAGAACCTGTAGAGACCATATCCAGTGCACAGGCATGGGCCCCCAGTTGAGGGAGGAGGCCACCTACCAACCTCAAAAATATTAATCTAGAATTCCTCCTGTTAAAAGGAAATGCAGGGACAAAGATTGAACAGAAACTGAAGGAAAGGCCATCTGGAGACTGCCCCACCTAGGGATCCATCCCATCTGCTGACACCAAACCCAGACACTATCGGTGATGTCAAGAAGTGCTTACTGACAGGAGCCTGGTATAGCTGTCCTGAGATGCTCTGCCAGAGCCAGACCAATACAGATGTGGACGTTCACAGCCAAACATTGGACTGAGTGCAGGAACCCCAATGGGGGAAGTTAGGGCAAAGACTAAGAGCTGGAGGGGTTTGCAACCTCATAGGAAGAACAACGGTATCAACCAACCAGACCCCCCAAAGCTCCCAGGACTAAATTACCAACCAAAGAGTACACGGGGTACCCATAGCTCCAGCTGGATATGTAGCAGAGGATTGCCTTATCTGGCACCACTGGGAGGAGAGCCCCTTGGTACTGTGGAGGCTTCATGACCCAGGATAGGGGGACACTAGGCCATTGAGGCAGGAACGGGTGGGTGGGTTGGGGAGCACCCTCATAGAGGCAGGGGGAAGGGAGGAGGGGATAGGGAGCTTGTGGAGGGGAAACTGGGAAGAAGGATAACATTTGAAATGTAAATAAATAGCCAATAAAAACAAAAACAAAATCTTTGGATAGTGTTACTATCTGTCACCC